ATACGGTATTACTTACTGGAGCATTTATCTCCCTAAATGCTTTCGGCAGAGAAGATTACTCCCTGGGCAAAGAACACGGTCCCGCGTTATTGTCACCGGAACGGAGGGATACAGGTCACAAGTGATGTTTGCTACATTTCCCAGCACGGAGGGAGTTTGGGCCACCCTATGAAAACCTGCCCATAAAGTTGAACGGTGGGGAGAATTCCCTTTGCCTCATGTCACCCAGCCCTCTCAGGCTGGTTATTGAAGGTGTACATGTTATAGTAGCAGACGGTATCAAATGAACTCCCGGGCGAAGGCAAACGGTATTTTCAGTACCTATTAAGATTCTTGGTGGAAATTTAAATACCTCTGTCAGGCAAACACAATCGTATCAGGCATCACAGAATTGCATTGCTAGAAAGAGAAATTAGATTAACCAACTCTCACTCTGTTCCTAGAAAACTCCGTAACATTGATGCACGTTTCAACAGTCTCTTACTTTGGCTGAAGGGGCTCTACCAGAAATCTAGACGAATTTAATGTTAAAGGAAGTTATTCTCGAGGAAAACCCTTCTGTCTCAAAAAAAACCTACATGTTTATACACAGGGTTATAGAAGTCTGTATTACACATTGGAAGGCAATGGTTATTTAAAATCAAAACAGCCAGAAAAATCCAGTGGCGGAAACCATGACTAGTTCAACACCGCTAAGCTACAGCCCCTTAAAACATCCTTGTCCTTTATTAATATTTAGTAGAAATGTATAATTGCAGATATGTGCTAGGTTGGGGTTTTATGTGGGGAGGCGGGTAAAGAGGACAGGTTTATTACAGCCATGAAATATTAAAGAAGCACCAAAGAACGGTAGTTGTATGTCCTAGACTTTGCCAGGCAGCAGGCAGGCCTGAATGTCAGCTGCACAAAGGGGCCCCATCTGTTTACATTACCCCTGATTAACACCTGCGAAGTTTTGGGTTACATCTTCCGGAGTTGCAAAAGTCATAAGCAGGCATGCATCCCGTGCTGGGCGATTTCTCCAGGAAACAGGATTGCAAGGATCCTTGCCTTCCCAAAATAACTATGAGGGAGCCTGGAAAATTCTCTGCCACCGCGTGGGGAGGAGGCGGAAGCGACTCAGAAAAACAAGTTTTGCTCTGAGGCTGGGACCACCACCACCACCGGACCCACCTCTGCCAGGCCCATGTCTGAAAAAAGAAAATGCAACATTCAAGTCTTGCCTGCCTAATATTTCTCAGCCCTGCTGACTGGGTTCCGGCTGGAACGCTGCGAGAAGCATGAAATTCCAAAAATTTGCCCACATCGCTGTAAAAATATCATACTTCCAAAAAGGGTAGGATTGCAGGCAGAGTGTATACAGAGACCGACTCCCGTGTCAGTGTGTGTGAAAATTCATTTCTAGAATGCTCTGGATTTCAGGAGCCTGAACAACGCACGGAAAGGAAGTTTGGCGAGGATAAACTTATTACAGTAGGTTAATTCTAGTTTGGGAAACTGGAAGGGGCAGGAAGGGGGTAAAACGTAGCCTTAATATCTTAATATCTAGCATCTATGGTTATCATGACTTTTCCTTCTCTAGCTGTCTTGAAATTCCTGCACGGGCATACAGCTATTACAAAGATAGGTGGCTGACTTTCAAAATTATTTTTTAATTCATGCAATCCTTACTGACTTAGATGCCAGAACAGGCCAAAATCTCAAGGCTGGTGATTTGGGTGTTTTTTTTTTTTTTTTTTTTTTTTCTTTCTCCCCACAGCCTCACCCTTCCCCCATCCCAACTTTGTGCAAACACAGGCTCCTGCCCCATCAGATGGAGAGTCTCATTATATAAAAGTTGTTTGGGGGGGCAGGTAAAGAAGTCGGGGGCACATAATTTGAAGAGTTGCTTTTCCTGGTACAAAATGGGTAGATGGTTATGTGCTCCCGGCCTAGACTCCAGGCGGATGTAACTTGCCAGTCGAGACCCCTCCCCTCCAAAGGACATCTAAAGCCCATAAGACAATCCGGGCACGTCCCAGCGGCTCCATGCCTCGCGCATTTCTGAAGACTTCTCCCTTCCCTCCAATCGGAGCACGGATCATTTTGTTAAATACCGAGTAGTATTTTGTCATCGGAGCGAAGAATTTCAGAAACGGTGTTAATATTTAATCACATTAGTACTGGCGTGTTTTACGGCGTGACAAAATAAAATATCATTACCCAAACGGGTTGTGCCTGAAAGGGGGGAGGGAGATTGTGGGAAAAAAAAAATGCTTCCTGGGGTTGGAACCAAGAGAAGGTATATTCCAAGCCTCTGGACACCACCAGGCCACAGCTAATGGGACCGTGTGCATGTGTTTAAGGAAAAACAGAATATTTTACATGAAAAACAAAAAATCTTTCAATTGTATTTCGAAGGGGTACACTTGACTCTGATTTTCAGCCAGGGGACTTGGGAGGGCTTGTAGAAGGCTCTGTGTACCTATTTCTACAATGTGTGCAGATGGAACTGCAGGGTGTTATCATAATGAAAAGTTTAATCATCCTTATTTACTACCAGTGAGGGAGCAGGCGTCAGATACCGATACCTTATAAAGCCTTAACTAGCAGCCACTGGGCTGCAGCGTCTCCAAGTGACCTCAATTCAGGGCTTTATCTAGGAAACCGTCCTTCCCACATCACAGCACGGAAAACAAAGAAGGTTAAGTGGGTGTCCCTGCCTGTGCTCCTAAGGCGGCCAGCCCCTCCGCCCTTTCCAGAAGGAAGTCCCCGGCCTCCCCAGCGTGCTCACTTGCAGGGGAAATCAACCCTAACGTGCCTAGCATCTGTTTCCAAAATTATTTTCGATCATCTGACTGATAATGAAACAAACCAAACAAAACAGAACAATTCTTTAATGCCATTTCTTCAATGCCACTGCTTCATTCACTGCCTGTGTCTTTCTTTTATTTTATTTTCAGTCAAGGAAGACGAGCCAGACTGGAAAGGGGGTGGAGAGACACCCTTTTGAAAAAAATCCAATTACACACCACCTAGACCTTTCCACCTAGGCCCCTCCAAAGACTCGCAGGCAAGTGAGCACTGCTGGCTTCTCATGATTTCATTTCCCAAATCAGGCTGGTTTGTTGGTTTGTTAACTTTTCTCACTCTGTTTAGGCCAATATATTCTTAATTATTTGGGGGGGGGAGGGGTCAGAAAGCAGGAAGGAGGAGGGGTAACCAGGCCAAGCCAGGTAGAAGTGACAGGGGCTGAGATCTGTGCTAACCAGCTATCGATCGGGGCAGGATCGAGATGTTGTGTACAAGAAAATAAAAGAGAAGGGGGGCCAAGCAAGTAGGATGCTGTGTCCAGCTCCATTTTAAAAAGGAGGAGGGAGAAAAAAAAAAGGGAGAAGAAGCTGAGGGTCCCAAACTAACCAATTTATGGCCTTGCCTGGGAGAAGCCTGGAGAATGCTGATGCAGGCCCGGTGGCTGCCGTGCATGCTAAACATCCAGCTTCAAATGAGAGCCAGGATCCCGGGCTGGCCAGTCACTGCTGAACAAAGAGCCAAGCAGCGGGCCGTATTCATGAATTAGAAAACCTAAGGGGAAGGCTACCGGGACGAGGCGCCTGAAAGCTCCTAGTTCTGAGCCACCCAACTCCTGCCCCACACCTCCTCTCCCTCCTCCTCCCTCCCACCCTCCCCAACCCCCTTCCCATCACATCTCCTAAAACCTACTCTCACCTTAAATCCAGGGCCAAGAGATGGCTGGATGTGGGGAGGGCTAGGAAAACGACTGCAGAGGAGAGAAGAACTATAAGAGAGGGCAAGAACCAGGGGATGCATTTCTTAAAAGCCAGGGTTAAATTGCCAGGCAGGGCCATGTAGTGAACTCTGCCTAGAGAAACCAAGGGGATTCAATGAAGGTTTGTAAGAAAATGGTAAGAAGGGGACATGTTATCTAATTTTACGAAGACATTAACTGTAGGGTTTAAAAAAAAAAAAAATAAGGCTCATTGAATGAAACAGAAATCTAGCAGCTCTGATATCTTTAGGTTGTCAGTTTAACTGGAATGGCAGTCCATGTACTAACTCACCCACACCCCTCCCACCTCAAAGGCCTCCAGGCCTGGTGGGCAGGGGTGCTTAGAATACAAACGAGGCCTGGGACTGGACATCTGTCACCAAAGCCAAGCGAGATATTGACAAACGCGGGTCCTTTGTGTCTTCAAAATATGTATCCATATCGCCTTAAGTAAGATGCCCTGACTGTTGGTCCCGACTTTGTTAAGCAGACCCCTCCCCGGTCCCATCACCCACTCCCTCAATGTCAAGGAGACGCATCCTGAAAAGGCTGCCTGCCTTCTACAACCCCTACAGGTCTCTCCCTCTTCAATGAACCTCTAATAGTTTAGAAGAGACAAAACAGCTATTCAATAGGGACAAATGTCAAATCAGGCCTCGCCTCTGAGTGATGCTGCCGACACCTACCTGGGAACTTTATAAAGATGCTGGGCAGCCAGGAGAACTCAAGCTGAGGTTTGGCTAACTAGCAAAGGGGGAGGGAGTAGGTAACAACTTTCCAGGTGTTCCTGCCAGGAAAGGGGGGGATGCAGACAGCTAGAGAGTGGCACTAAGCTGAACGCTGAGGGGTTCTGAGCCTGTGACGGTGGGGGTCTCGTTTTCCAAGCACTTTGCAGCAGCAGGTAACTCAGCTAAAAGTGGGGCGGGGGGTGAAGCGGGAGGACACAGCTCTGCAGGGACACCCCCACCAGTGCCCTGTGGAACTCCTCCGTAGGATCCGTCTGGCAACCCCTGCATGGAGTGGCTGGGGGTCGGGAAGAGCCACCCAAGCTAAGGGAGAGGAGTTGGGAATTAGGAGGCCCCGGCACATAACAACAACAACAACAACAAAGGTGCCCTCCTAACCCCCTGGGGACCCACTCCCCAGGGGAGCTTTCAAGGCACAAGCTAAAGCCTGCAATGGGGGCGGGGTGGGTCACGGGTGAGGTGAGAAGGGCGGCGCGCGCAGATACCTTCTTTGCTGTTGGGGTTCTGGGGCTTGGCCTTCTCCCAGGGCGCCAGCGTCTTGTCGTCGTCCGCACCGTCCACCAGAGCCTTGTCAGTGGGCATGTACCAGGTGGCGCTGTGCTCTGCCATCAGAGAGTCCAGGTCGATGGTGCTCATGGCGCTCTTGACCGCCTCAGAGCAGCAGCTGCCCAGCTCGCTGTCGCCGTTCTGCGCGCCCGAGGCCCCGACGGCGCACTCGCCCTTCTTGCCGCCCTTGAGTCCCAGGGGCTGGTCCTCCGAGATGCTAAACTGCTGTCTCTGCAGCTGGATCTGCGCCTGGAGGATCTCCAGGGGGTGGATCTCGTCTGGTGGCGGGGCACCGCCGCTGCTTGTCGGGGTCCGGACCTGCTCCAGTCCCGGCGTGCCCGGGTGGCCCGTGCCCCCGCCCCCGCCGTAGCTGTCAGGGGTCGAGGTAGAGGTAGACATGATGCCTAGGCCGAGCGGGGGCGGGGGGGCCTTAGGTCCGTGTTCCCCGGTGCCCACCCCACGCGGCGGGAGTTTGGGCGAGCCAGTCACCAGAGGACTCCTGCTCGCTTTGGCCAGGGCCGGGGGGTTGTCGGAGCTGGACGACACCTCGTCCTCATTAGCGTAGCTGGTGCTCACCTCATCGGAGGCGAAGTCGCCCACGTGCGGGGAGCTACCGTCCGACTTGGCCCCGCCGTCCAGGGATGCCATGAGGTCCGGCTGGTCCCCCAGGAGCAAGTCGGCCCCCTTCCCCCAAGATGGCGATGTGAGCGCCTTCTCGTGGGGCGTCGGCGCCCCGCGCGCCTCGCCCGCGGGGCCTCCCCCGACGGCCGCGCCAGGCGCCTGCTGCTGCCCTGGGCTCACCCCCGACGCGCCCCCGCTGTCTGGCGCCGCTGAGTACTTGTCGAAGAAGGTCCCGGGGCTCACGTGACCACTGTCCCTTTTTCTGCGACCCCGTCCTCGGCCGCCGCCCCCGGGGACCGGCTTGCCATCGTTCCCCGACGTGGATTCCAGGGTGTAGTTGGGAGAGAGGCTGGTGCCGTCCCCCGGGGCGGGTGGGTTGGGCGGCCCCGAGGCTTTGGGGCCACTACAACTGGTCCCCGACGGGCCTCCAGGCCCCGGGACCCCAGGGGCAGTCCCTCCCGGGAAGTAATCCGAGCCCGGGTTGCCGGCCACGGCCGCGCCCTCGGTCTCGTTCTGGCTCAGTTTCCTCTTGCCCTCGGGCGGGTTCTTCTTGTTGAAGGTCACGTTGAGGTTGGGGGCCCCGAGGCTGGCGATCATGTTCTGGCAGGCGGTGGAGAGCGCAGCCAGACAGCTCTGGCCGAACAGGTTGTCCTTGGAGCTGGGCTTGTTGAAGGAGCCCAGTGAGAGCGCGCCCAGCTTGCTGGCTGAGGCGCGCTGGCTGGGCTGGAACTCGGGCTGCGGTGGGTATGCGCCCCCGCCGCCGCCGCCG